CTTTCACAACTCAGTGTCTTCTGGGTTAGTATATTGTCTTCAAAAGAGAATGAATTGCAGTTCCTTTTACTTTTTGTCAGTTGGCCTTTCATCTTTGCATGAGGCTGACACCTCAATCTGCTGGCCTTTGGCTTTTTGCTCCCCTGGCCAAGATCCTCTTTCTATAAGTGTATCTTCCTTCCAGTGCAGTGGTTTGCTCACTGTCTTGCTTGGTTTTGGCTTTGGTGCTTTGTTTTCAATCACACTTCCACTCCAGTGTCTCCTTTTTTATGAAATTATTTTATTATGTTTAAAAATCACAGTTGATTTTCTATAGCCAATTGCTTGTGCAACTTCTGTTCCCAATTCTGTGTGCTGAAGAACTGAAGGGTTTGGGTTTCCTGCCTTGGACCCCAAGAATACCTTGTGTTTGGTACTCTTTCCTGTCTCTTCAAATAGTGGAGCTCTCCATTCTTCCCACAGAACATTGTAGTGCTGTTCAGCCCAGCACTGGTTGTTCTGTTAAGCAGCTACAGCCACACTTGAGCAACAGGATCATGATGGATCCTCCCTGTGCCTCTGCATGAAGTTACTGTCTCCCCATTTCAGTCCTCTCTTTGGACCTAACTGATGTTCCTGAGAGGACAGAGTTGCACTGAGCTTCTCCCATAGTCCAAGAAAAAAAAAAAGGGTCAGACAATCTCTTTCTCCTTCTCTGTCTCTCTTCATCATCTGCTGGAGGATCTGGGGCATTCCTAAAATGGACCTGTGCCAGTGATATACCTTATTTGGACTGTGGCCTCGCATGACCCAAACACATGGAGCAAATGTATTCCTTCTTGAGGCATTTCCTCAGAAGCCTTCTCTGTGTTGTGAAACCTTGTAGCTGGGTGTAAAGAGCTCATGCTCCTTAGGGGATTTGGTTTGTGATTTGATTTAGCCAATGAGAGATGAAATTAGAGTGATCAGGTTATTCTTTCTTCTCTTTGCCGCATTTTGCTTGGTATGTGGAAAACTTGTCAGCCAAAGTATCTTGCATTGAGCCTTGATTTCCAATTAATCAAACCTGGGGCATTGTTCACTGCAGTTTTTCTGTTTGCTATGTCAAGATGCTGTTCCTTTGTGCTGGTGGAAATCAGTGGAGAATCTGCTCTCAAATCTGTCAGAGGAGCATGGAAACATTTCTGTAAATAAATCTAATGGTTTTTGCAAAGTAAAGTAGAAATATTTGAGCTACAAGCCCTTTGCACCCTGGGTTGTTATTTTTGCCTACCATCACTCTGAGCTAGAGCTATGTTATTCTAGCTATGCTGATGAGGGCACATTATTTCCTTTTTAAAAACTCCACAAATTTCTGTGAGGCAATTCTCTGCAGAGCTCACTTCTGACTGAAATGCAACATTGCAGTAATGCAGAAGTGTTGAGAGCTTAGCACTTCCTGCCCTGGATGTAGCTGAAGCACAAGGAAAACATAGGGTTCTTGCCATATAAAATGCTTTTTGGTTTCTTTCCAAAGAAGCATTTCTGGGAAGTCTGACATTACACATAAGTTGGCGTGGTGGTGGGGAAATGCCTCCTTAATTTTTCAGCCTGGCACTTAGCCAGAAAACTTTGTTATTCCTTTCATAGTTATCTTAGATAATTTCTTCTTCTTGCAGAATTTCCTACAGTGAAGCAGTGGAAATTTTGAAGCAAGCTTCTCAGACTTTCACTTTCAAGCCAGAGGTAGGTTGTTGCCAGGTGGCTTGTCCCCATGCCTGTTCATGTGCACACCCTGAACTTTGTAGAGTCTCCTTTCTCTCTTTCTGATACCACAAGAGCTGTTATTTTGAGTGGATTGTCTGCCTCCTGGGGTGTTTGCTGAGTTGTAATCCATGTATGACTTTTGCCCTTTGGGGTTGAAATGGGAATGATATAATGAGTGAGATCTGTAGCAGAAGGACACATAACATTTGCAGGGAAGGAAGTGATGAGTTTGCTGTTGATGAACCAAGGCTTTAGCAAAGGCAGTTTTCTTCCCTGTATGTGCTGAAAGTGTTGCCAATACAGTAGCAATCATCTAAGGAGACTTGCTGCAATAGTCTTCAAATAATGGAAAGATACTAGCATAGCACCAAAAGTTTGAGAAGGACTAATAAGCCAAAACTGTGTCAAAATACCATGTGATCTAGATGTAGGTAAAGGGAATCCTTTGTCTTTCTGAAGCATAGATGTCGACTGGGAAAAAGACTATAACATGCTTGTCCTTCTAACACTCTTAGATTACAATTTTCTAAAAATAGTATTTTGCCCAATTTCAAACACACACCCACTCTAGGGTGGGATGGCATTCATAGTGGTGTTCATCTCATGTGCATGCTGTTTAATCATTATCTCATTCTAATGCTTTGAGGAAAATAACCCTCTGACTGAAGCCACTTTCGTAGCGAATTGGGTAATTGTCTCTTCTCTGCATACAACTGGGTGTAGAACCTCAAATCTTGTATCTGCACTACCTTGATCTGTGACAGCAAACCTGGGATATTTTCAGATGAGGAGAGTCTGTGGGATGTCTGTTCCCCTCTTCTCCTTCCACTCCCCCAATATTTTTTCCGTGTCTTATAGATGGACCAGAGGTCTCAAGTCAAAAGCTACAGAATTTATAACATCACTGGAAGAAAGGAAAAGTGAAGGGCATTGCAAATATCCAGTGTTGCTAATAGCAAAGAATGGGTTAATAGGATGCTGGATTTTACTAAGTGAGAATTAACGTAGCATGTAACAGGACATAGCAGGGAAAAGCAATCAGGTTTGGGTTGGTTTGGTTTTAGGGGTTCTTTTTGCTTGTTTGTTTGAGTTGTTTTTTCTGATTTGATGCCTGATGCTCGGACTTGATGCAGGGATGATCTGTCCCTGTTCTGTGAAGTTAAATCTTATTGTTTTACATGCTTTGCTCTTTGTTAAAACTCGTGAAACTGTCTGCTTAGCAGATTTTGCCAGTTGCCTGTATGAGAAGTTGCTTTACTTGGTTTCATGTTATTCAAAGCTGCACATCTCTCCTACACAGGGATTTTGCTAGGTGTCTTGCCATGGGCAAGATGCACGAAAGCAGATTCCCAGGTCCCTTTTGCTGTCTTTGCAGTGGGGCCGTGACCTCCAAACAGAACATGAAAAGTACCTGGTGAAGCACTGTGGTGAGGTTCCTGTGTTTGTGATTAACTACCCATATGACCTGAAACCTTTCTACATGCGGGACAATGAAGATGGACCTCTGCACACAGTGAGTCCATGGATCCCACTTCCACTGCTTTTTTGGCTAGGTATATACCTTAGCCTGTTGACAGATAGGTGAGGATAGTTGTTGGGAAAGGTGAAAGTTCTGCGCAGGGAAGCAAGCGGCCGACTCAGTATGAGTGATAAAGCAAACTGCAACTTTATTGTCTGACAGGCTCTTCTTTATACAGTGCAGGACAGGCATATAACTATCAATCATTTATAATTGGCTAAGCTCTAAAGATAGCATTCAGGTACTCTCCCTGCTTGCAGTTACAGCTGTGAGGATTATTTCTTACTTTCTCAGGCTTGGCTGCATTCCTAGCTGTTTGTCTCAAACTTGTTTGTCTCACCCTCAAAGACAATTTACCCCTGCCATCTGCCCAGCTGAGTTACTCCCTGTCTATGTATAAGTTACAATCTCCAGAGCCTTGCTTGTACACTGCATTCCCAGGTGCGTTCCCAGGACTGTGTCCTTGCTCTTTTTAGCCTTCCCCAGGTGCATTCCCAGGATTATGTCCCCGCTCTCTTAGCCATTCTCCAACAGATAGTCATCTGCTGGGCCTCCACTCAAGTCCAGGTTAAGATGTGACCATCAGGTGATCCCATCTCATTTTTTTCCTGTTGCAGAAGAAATTCCCAAAGCAGGAACAGGAGGAGGAAGATTCAAGAATTGGGATAATATTTTTTGCTTAGTTCCCTTAATAAAAGTTTGCCATAGTTTATTTCTTTTCCTGGTAAACTTCTGTACTGTTTGGTGAAATGCCTAGAACTGCATGGCTTCAAGCAGTCCGTGATTCTCTTGTCATCCAAATGTAGCATCCATGTAATGCTCAAATAGCAAATGAGCACAGGAAGTAAGCCCTTTATCCACAAGTCTCATTTCCCAGTTGAACTGAGACAACCTGAAGCATTGCCTTCTGCTAAAAAGAGCAAGTACCCCACCATGTACCACTGTCACTTCAGTGGCTTTAATTCTAGCAGCACTTGAGCTGTGAAATAAGAAAACTTAACCCTAGAAGACAAAACAGAGAAGACAGCCAGCCCAAACCTAACAGTGCAGGTTGTAACACTTGGATCCAGCACAGGAGTGCCATTGATACCATTTCTACTAGAGCTGGCTCAAGGAATGGGGGCAGATGGGGCCAAACACAAGCTGCAGCATCAGGGCAGGGAATTAGGGCTTCAGGAAACTTGCCCATGTGCCTCTTTCTTATGAGCTGCTGTTGGGTTCTTTATAACCCTACACAGATTGTCACCAGAGTAACCTGATGCTAGTCAGTTCAAACCACTTGCTGTGGATATCCTCATTCTGGAACATCACTGTTGTCATTTAGGTTTTCTGTAGACTTACTGATGTTTATCGTTGCCAAAATTCCTCACAGCCTTCTCCTGTCAACAAGATACTTTTCAAGTATGTGCAAATACTTACATAAGTGTCCTGGAGCCTGGAAGAATTACAGTAGGGTTTTACAAACAACCATCAGTGTCAGCTGTATTTCTGGCAATCACCCTGTGGCTGTGTGACATGACTTCAATTAGTTTTCTTTCTTTTAAGGTTGCAGCTGTTGATCTCCTTGTACCAGGAGTAGGGGAGTTGTGTGGAGGCAGCTTGAGAGAGGAGCGGCTGCCCTTGCTCGAATCACGCTTACAGAGGTATGGAAAACTTACATGTGTCAGACTAGCCTGAGTGTTTGAGCAGCCCTCAGTGGTTGGCAAGACAGAGGTGTGGAAGGAGCAACTAATAGTATTTAAAAGAAGCCTATTTTTGTCTTTTTGTGGTTTCTATTTATCTGAGTAGGTGATTGTGAACTGAAGTTCTTGTGCTTCTGTTATAGGTATGCAAATGGCCTCTCTGTTTTAGCTCATCAGAGAAGAAAAGTTTACTTTATGCTAGGAGGCCAGGGCAGCAGAATGCCTCAGCTCTGCTGGGTCTGTCTGGGACAGGGTCTGATGTGAGGCACTTCATCCTTGAACCCTTTCTTCACAGTTTTTGTGGCTGAGAGTGGATTGCGAAGGTGGAATTTGTCACGTAGACAGATATATTTCTCATTGCATTGTGCAACTGAGGAACTGCAGTTTTGGTCAGAAGCTTTCCTAGTTGTGATGTAGCTGGCCTCACTGACTGGTCTCATTTCAGAGAATATGGTTCCTTACTAACACTTTGGTTGGAAGCTTTACTGGAAGTGCCTGAGACCTATATACAGCTATATGGGCTCCTTCCTTGCTGCCTTAGTCTAGATCATGTGACTTTGAGTAATTTTCAGCTAAATTCAATGTCAGAATATCAAAGCTGCTGTTTAGTTAACAATAATTGACATTATAGATGGGGTAATTCTCCACAGGCAATTAGCCTCTGGATCCTGTGAGATTGTTCAGAAGAGCCCTACATAGTATTACAGAATGGTTTGCATTGGAAGGGGCCTTAAAGGTCATGTAGTTCCAACCCTACACCAACACCTTACCCTAGACCAAGTTGAGCAAAGTCCCATGCAACACTTAAACAGTTTTGTTTGGGCCAGTCGTACATTTGTGCAAAGCAGTTTTGGAGGAGGATTAATCCCAGAATAATACCATTTGCACATTGAGGATTGATTTGTTGCTTAAATCAGCCACATGCTCACACAGATATATCTAGTCAGTAGAGAAGAGCAAAATCCGTTTGAGCATAATGAATCCAAAAAAGCACAGGGCAATTAAAATAACTGGAACATTGGTTCTCAGTTTGTAGAGTTGTGCAATAATATTCCCTGTGCTTCCTGCTCTCTGAAGCAGCCATACTTTAGTTGCTGTAAAGTACAGTATTGCCTGCTGTGCTTTTTTACTCAAATTTTTTTGCCTGTAAGATCTAGTGTCCACAATCCTCAAAATTGTGGGGCTGGAGGAGGGTCCATGTGGAGTTTGAAGCCAGACGTTCTTGTCAGGAAAGTCATAGAAAGTATTTCAAGCTACAAATGGGTGTGTCTTCAGTGACCCTAAAGTACAGCTCTGCGTTGAAGAAGGCCTGGAAAAATCACACCTTTTTTCATGTATTTTTCTCAATTTTGACTCCTTAGGATCTGATTTTCTGAGCCCAAGTGCTTTGTTTAGGCTTTTAAATTCTATTTCCTGCAGACTTAGAGATAAAGAACAGGATTCTTGTCTCCTTATACATGGTTCTGACAGTAGCTCTCCAAGTCCCAGTCAGAGACAGCTGCAGTGCACTGAAGATGGGCGAAGTGGTCTCTCTTTGACAGCTGAATTTCCTGTTCATGTTCGGAGAAATGGAAAAAAACACCAACTCTGCTCTGGTTCTGCCAGGGCAGGAAAAGGAGAGGGTGCACAGGTGGTGATGAGAAAAAGACATATTTTATTGAGTAATATTACAGAAGTTGACACACATGAATTAAACGACAGTTCAGTGGTTTTGTGCTTTGTGGAAGGGGAGCCACATAGCCACACTTGTGAAGAGATTTTGGCTCACCCATAAATGAGGTTGACTGCATATCATTGTAAATTTAATATTCAGGCCCATACTTTCCAAATGTTCACAGGCAGAGTTTATGATATGCTTAAAGTTAAGAATATGTACAAGTCTGCATGAAGCTGGGATCAATCCTGTATGTTGAAGAAACAAACTGCATTTCAAGAAGCATGTTGAGAATCTTTTCAAGATTGTCTACCAGTTACCAGAACTGACAGCCACTGATCATGTCTTCCCTTAATTTCCTGCCTTTCCTTTTAGGTCTGAATTTAGTCATCAGACTCTCCCTTTTGTTGTAGCATTCTCGTCCAGGTAACTGCTGCTTGTGCAGATCAACTCTATTCCTTTATTTACAAGGGCTTTTCTTTTCTTTCACAGGTTAGGACTCACAGATGCCTACCAATGGTAAGATGCTATCCTGTGATGCAAGCTCTGTTTCTTCGAGACTCTTTGAATAACTTTTTCTTTTTTTCTTTTTTCTTTTTTTAATTTTGTTCTTGAGGGAACAATTCTTGGCCCAGTTGCCCTGCCATCACTGCCAGTCTAAATGGAACTACCAGTTCATTTAAACAAAGTTTAATGCTACTTAGTTTATCCTCCCAATTTGTCCACTCACAGCACAGGTCATTCCTTTCAGGATTGCATAAATGATTAATTTACAACCCATAATGATTTTTGATATTAAATCATTAGGCTGTGTTGGAAATTGAACGGATTCTGACCACCATGCATGAGATAAACAGGTTGCAGAACTAAAAGCAATTTGTGACTTTTAACAGCTCTATGAATAACTCCCTCTGCAATTGACAGGGCAATTGGGTCGAAAAATCTTCCCTAATAAAGCAGTTAAAGCAATTAAAACTGTCCTCCTAAGGAGACAGATTAACCTTTGGATTAACAGTTTAACCTATTAGAACAACAGAAGGTTCTTAGTGTTCCTCTTGACAAGTGTTTCTTGGTATGTATTTTGTCATAGCTACTGAAAGAGTGCTAGTGCAGAGAATTTTAAATATAGAAGAGTATATTCAAATACCGTGCAGTATTTGGATTGGTCATTAGGGAGGCTGCCTTGACAAAAAGCAAAGTGTAGGATTCTTCACTTTCCTCTTCCCACAATGAAAAATCACTTAGGAACAGCCCAGTGTACGGCAGATCTTTACATCATCTGTTTGCAAACAGGGTGAATTAAATGTCTTATGTTGTTTGTATTTATGGGCCAGAATGCACCATATCCCTTCTTTACAGGGAAGGATTATCCTAAACAAGGATGATCAGTTGTGTGGTTAGATGCTGAGATACAGCCTGAGGAAGTCTGGTGTTCAATAGCAGAGCCTTCCTGCACTACTAACATACCATGGCCCTACCTCATGCTTCCCTCGAGAGAAGATTAAGGCATTTTCATGCATACCATGGCCCTACCTCATACTTTCCTCGAGAGAAGATTAAGGCATTTTCATTGCATATGCAGCAATCAATTCTGGAAACTCTTCCTCTTGTAAAGTTGTTTCGGAGACTTTCCTCCTTTATTCCTTCCACTCCATCACAGCTAATGTAACTTCCCAGAGAAGACTAAAGCTGTTGTTACCCCCTGCCATAGCAGGGTCTGGTGTCCTCCTAGGAAGGTGCAGGACAGGAGTAATTCTGGATGCTTCTGGACTGCAGTCCAAAATCTGCCAGAAAACAGGTAGGTGGTTTGCCAGCATCCATCTTTTCAGTGGAGGTGGCAGGAGACAAATTAATCTCCTCCATTTTAGTGATTGAATTTAGTCTCCAAAGCTGGCTTGCAAACTCCTTAAAGAACAGTTGAGTCATTCCTTTTTAAATATAATATTTGCTGACTTTAGAATGTGATCCCTTTTGAAGTTCCTTAACCACTGCCATGTCTCTACCTGTTTTCTGCTCCCAGTAATCATGAAGATATTGTGGGGTCTGACTACTTCTAGGACAGCTTCAGAAGTGCTTTGTTTGTGGAAGAATCATAGGGCAAAGAGTCAACAGATGATCTGAAATGCTGTTCTGCTTCTTGCCATTCCTACCTTTTAGAAAGCTTTTCAGAAAACGAGATAAAGTGATATGGTAAAACTCCTCTGAACCTCTTTCAGTTCACTGCATCTTTCTTGTTATGCAGGTTTCTTTCCATAAAGAGTATGAGTTGGAGGAGTGTTTGGCTTGATTTTGTAGTTATTTTATCTTATTTTCACACTTCTTCCTTAGAACTGTAGGTAGAAAATAGTTCAGTGCTGTAGATAGTGATCTTGGCTAAACTGAGAGGTCTGTGGAAGTGAGGTGGGAAAGTCAAGTGATCAGAGTTTACTCTGGGAAGTCACTTTTTTCCCTGTGACCAGGGAGTATTAAGTATATTGCCTTGTTAACAGGGTACCTGATCCTGTTTGCAGCTTCCAGGTGCCAACTTAAAAGTAACGAAATAGGTACTTTGTCATGAACAACGTGTTCCCACCACCATCAGCTTGAGCTGCATTTGAGACAGTCTTTCTACATGTAAGGCACCCATTTCCTTACTCTGATTATCATCATGCACACTGGTGGAGAAGATTGTCTCATACTGAACCCTTTACAGTCCAAGTACCTTTCTGATCTTCTAGTATAACACTGGTGAAAAGTACAAGTGGCAGAGCAGGTGTTGTCTGCCGTCTTTGAATGGATGTTACTGTGTTGTCTTGGCCCAGCTCCTGCTCTGGATGAAGAACATTGAGCTGTGTTGGGCTCTTCAAGTTCTAGTTTTCTTTGAAGATTGAATGTTGGCATGTTCTGTTGAGTCCTTGTGTGGCAGGGTAGAAAGGAGGAGTTGGACTTAGGGAACAGCAGCACTGGTGAGCCACTTGCAGTCCATGGCCAGTGACAGCATTCATGTTGTCCTTTAACCTTCTTCAGAGCCCAGTGAAAACAGGTAGCCCATTACTGTCCCTGGCAGTTGCTTGGGTCCTATTACTCCTGCTTTGGGGAGAAACTGGAGCAGTGTGCTGGGCCAGATAGAGGCAGGCAGAAAGTCAGTGCTCAAGCCAGTCAGAATGTGCCCAAACTCCACTCATATCAGTGGTACTGTTCTAGGTTAGTGTCCCTGAATGCTTTTTGTGTGAATTCACAAGACATTATGGGACTGTTCTAGGTTAGTGTCCCTGAGTGCTTTTTGTGTGAATTCACAAGACATTGTAGCAGAGCAGAAGCTGCCTGGAAGCTAAGACTGTTATACCCAGCATCAGAACCTGGTGATGTTTTGCATGTTTATTTCCTGAAACTTTCAGCAAAACAGTCTTTAAAGTATTATTTTGCTAGTAGTTTTTCATTACCCTTTTTTTTCTTCCCCCCAGTAGAATATTCAGTTTCATGAACTGAAATATCTTTGCATTTGGCTTGTAGTTTTTCATTACCCTTTTTTTTTTTCTTCCCACCAGTAGAATGTTCAGTTTCATGAACTGAAATATCTTTGTTCTTTCAGTTTTACTTTTCTCAAACGGGACACAGACTTCAGTATAACAAGGGGGTTGCATAAAAGATCGAGGTTATATTTGTTTTGAAATGAGACTGAAAATAATGCATTCTGCTTGTGAGTGGTCACATGCTCTTCACAGTGCCTTGCCGTGCAGCATGGGAGCTCATGATGATGATAAAAGGGTATAGTTTTTTAAAAGGATTAAAGGGAATGTTCATCTAACATGGCACATAACAAGTTCCCGGAATTCATTGCTGGGGGATGTTGTTGCAACACATACTTTAGTAAATCTTTAAGAGTTACCAGTCCTCAGGGTCCAGAATGTATACTCTGTGACTAGCTGGGGTGCCAGAAACTTGTTTCCCCTGTGGAATAATGTTGCGCAGTCCCCCAGTTGCCAATGGAGGGCTCAGTTCTCCTCTTAAGTATGAGCTGCTAGCAAAAACAGCAAGACTAGCTCAGGACTGTTTTTGAGGTGAGAAACATCTAATACTTGCAAAAACAGCAAGACTAGCTCACAACTGTTTTTGAGGTGAGAAACATCTAATGTCTGGAGACTACTGAATGAAGGAAAACCTCAGGGAGCATTTTCAAGCCTAAAGGGATTTTTCTCTTCATCTGCAGGCAGTTACTTTTTCTTTCATCTGGGAAGAATGAAAAATTTCTCAATTCCTCTGCTTCTTCTAAGCACAGTCATCAGAAAGGATTCACAGTCTTGATCCTCAGCACATTTAATTCAGTGGACTTTTTCCATTAACTTTAATGGGGTTTGTTTCGCTCCTTTTGCCAAAATGGCTTCTCAAAGTGCTTTGAGATCTACAGATCAAAGTCCTGGATAAGCAAGGGTAGAATTTATTATTATTGTTCATCTGGAAGAAGCTGAGTTATTTCATCTTCTCACAATGACTTTATAAACTCTGTTGCCAGCAAAAGGGGAGAAAAGATGATACGCTTAGTCTCAACTGTCTTTGCACAGACTGAGATATGCTTATAGATGTCATTATAAATGTTTGTGCTGTTACTTGTATTCCTAGTTACAGCTAAAGCTGTCACCAGCTAGTTTGTCAGTTCTGCTCAGAACTACCGAGCTGGCCAAGAGTGATCTGCCACGGCCAGCACCCATATCCCTCACATTTATGAGGTCTTTTCTATTTCACAAGTCACCACCCTCGGCATCAGATCTGCCCATCATCTTCCTTGCAAACTCTTGAAAAGCTGTGAAGCAGAGCTCCCCAGGGGCTCCCAGGGTATTAGCATGAACACAGGTTCTTCTTAATCCAGTCTGTATGAAGTGGTGAGAGATGAAGACCACCATACTGTTGCACAGGCTACATGTTTGTATCCTAAGGATAATACTCATCACAACATGCGGGGTGTATACACCTGAGCCTTAGCAGGCCAAGCTAACACTCAGCAGTGCAGATAGGAAACACGTGGGTCCCAGTGATCAGAAATGTCCCACTCTTGAGCCTGCTTTTCAACTTACAGTATAGGCACGACTGCACTTTGTGTGTCAGTGCTACTAGGAGGAAGTAAGATCTTCTGGTTTTATTACTTGAGCAGAGAAGGGGAAGGGAAAAACACTGGGGGAAAAAACCTGAAGATTGGATTGACTGTGGTAAATGGCATCCCAGATTTTAACTACTGTTAATGAGCTGCAAGGAAAAATAATATTTCATGGTATAAAAGGCATACTGTCAAACTGAGTGCCAGGGCAATCATGCAGCTGTAGAATTTGTTGGAGAGTACTTCTATTTTGCAAGCTGAGGTGGTCATGGGCATTACTTTGCCCTCAAGCCAACAAAATCCTGACATCCAAGCAAGTACACTCAAATATATATAACATATATTTTACAGCAGAAAGATTTATATGTGTATATACAAATATAATATTCCCTTGCAGTTCATTAACAGTAGTTAGAATTGGGGAAGCCATTTATTGCAGTCAATCCCATCTTAATTTTTTTCAGTGTTTTTCCTCCCTCTACTCCACTGCCTAAGTAGTAAAATGTATATATGCATTGATATTTAAGTGTACTTCATTTCTTTTTAAACTGGGATAATAAAATATTGATACACAAAGATTAGAACCATATAATACATCTGGAGTCACTCAATCTGTTACTACTGCATTCATATAAAGAAGAATAACTTTGTGCCCTCAGCAAGCTCAAAAGTGGCCCCATGAATAAATAGAACCACTGAGATGTTTTTCACTCCTATTGCAGTAAAATGGTTGGTGACAATTTATAGCTGCAAATGGAGTATCACATCAGATACAGTCCAGCTGGGAAATGGAGAACTCTAAAAAAGAACCATCATAATCTTGTTGATACCCATATATTTGGAATATCTGCTTCCAAAGATTTACTGAGTTTTCTGTGTACAACAGGTGCTGTTCTCTAAAATAAAATGTCCTGTTCTAAGTCTCATTTTTAGAGAAGATATGTTCAAGTTTTTTTTGCTGGCTTACTATAGAAATAAATTAATTAGTCTATAAGAGTGACTGGGAGGAAAGTAGCAAAAAGCCATCATAATTGCCTTAAAAAATCTGAAGGACTATTGAGCAGACAGCAAGACCTACTTAGGCTTCTGAAGAATTTACTGGAAATGAAATTACTTAAGCTATTGAAAAGCAAACAGAAAATGAAAGAACATGTTGTAGAGCAGATTTCCACACCAACACGGCAAGGGCTAACCAAAGGCATGCAGCAGCTCCATCTCCAGCAGTGGAGATGCTTTGTGATTCTGTAGGAACCTCTGTTTCTGCCTCTGCTAGGAATATTTTAGATACTAAAACTTAAAAAGGTGCTTTCAATATGAGCAGAGTAATGATGTTCAAGCTCTTCTTTGTACCCAGATAAATTCTTGCTCCTAAACCAAACACAATCTAACATATTGGCAAAGCATAGCTATGCTGGTTTAAATGGGTTTGCACTTGGGATTTCTGCTAATGCAATTCTGCCTGTCAGGGAGCTGCACCTCATCACACCCCTGACCAATGCCAGCTGTGTCAGGACACACACAGAGTGTCTCAGTGATTAGGGTCAAAGGGAAGAAATTAAGATGGAAAGCAAAACCCTAGATTAAAAAAATCTCACTTTGATTACATCAGCGTAACCGTGCTGCAAGTGTAACTATCTGTTTAAATTACAGGTATCTAGACCTCCGAAAATTCGGCTCAGTTCCTCATGGAGGCTTCGGAATGGGGTTTGAACGCTACCTGCAGTACATCCTGGGAGTTGATAACATCAAAGATGTTATTCCTTTCCCCAGGTTTTCTCACTCCTGTCTCCTGTAGCTCAGCAGTTGACTCGGAGTAAATTGGTGGTGTAACTATGTGTATATAAAATACTGTGGTCTGACTGAGTGTGTCTTAGTTGGAAATCAAGATATTTTTTTATATCCGTGAAACTCTTGGTAAATTTAATACTGTCTTATTGAAAATTATATATGTTCTGGTGAAATTATGGCAGGACACTGCCAGTTAATTTGATGGCAGCTTGTGTCTTCAGTGCACTTTGGGAGTATTAATAATTCCCACTTAACTAAAGGGTTAAGTTTCTCATGAGACTGGTACAAGCTGTTGAAGTACTAAATGGGAGGTGGCAGGGAGTTTACGTGAGATATTAATAAGGAGGTATGACCTTAAAATACTCTCATGTCTGATGCCCTTGCTGTTACAAAATGGTTACTCTAAAGCATGATTTTCCCCACTCTGAGTTGAAACGAAATATTGTTTAGCTTGGAAAGATCAACCAAACCTAGCAAGGAGCAATGTCATATTGGAACTGTGGAGTGAGTTAGATGAATGATTTTGTGAACCATCAATAAAGATGTACACTGGGTTATTTTGTAACTCTGTATCATTTCTTCTTCTGTTATAAAACTGTAGCTCTCCACGTCAGAGTGTTTCCTTCAGTGTCTTTGGTAGAGGTTTCCTTTTCTGTATACCCAAATTAGTTGCACAACTTCTGCAGGAAATATCTGTTTTCTGTCTCCAAGAGAGTACACATTCATAGCAGAAAGAAATGTTCATTTGGATCTCTCCAGAGCCAACCTGCAGTTTATTGGTGGGTTTTTGTTGTTGCGTTGCTTTTCTCTTGTACTTACTGAGAAAATCTCTCATGTGCTCATCAGACCAAGCAGTTTTGTCTATAATGCGAAAGAACCAATATATGCTCCCAAGCATTGCATATGCATTAAGTAATTGGTTATCACTGTAGGATCTGAACTCCTTGCAGTCTTTAATGGGTTTATGCTCTCAGCTTCTCGGACACATAAAGAAATATTAATTTCTGTTTTGAAGACAGGATTCTGGGAAGATCAGGTGACTTGCCTAAGGCAACTGGAAACAAGTGATTTATTTGAGACTTGTACTGAGGGTTACCAGCATCTTTCTTCCATTCCAAATTATCACAATCCAGCAAATGGTCATTTTCATAGTGCTTATTACTCTGGAACCCACTACGGCTGGAGTATAAGCAATATGTAAAGAGGAAAAGCAAGGCAGTGGCCTTGTGGCTCATGAACCCCATGTCAATTGGCACACATAACGTGAAGTGGCTGCACAATAGCGCTGAAGACTTTGTTTCCAAGTACATAAATGAGATTGGAAAATAGTAATTGACTAGCATTGCAGTGGTAATACTGCAATCACAGTTCCCCCTGGTAAGGTTGTATAATATTGCACCTGCAGTATCTAAAAATACCTGTGTCATGTGGCACCTGCCATGTTTCAGTGTGCTCCATGTCTGGGTTTGTTGGGGGGTTTGTTGCATACACTGAGACATCTTCTGCGTATCAAGACCTTTTCATGTCTTCTTCATGCGCTTGATTAGGCAGGTGTTCACTGTGCGTGTGCTGGTTTGCATTTCCCAGTACAGCCCTGAGTTGGTAAGTCTGGTTCCACAAAAACGGTTCAAGCACCTGCATTCCCTTTGAAACCACTGAGAAGTTCCAACATCAGACACCTAAGTATCTTCTGCGTTTGGACCATTTCTCCTTTTAGTATCTTAACTGTTATTGCTGGCCTTTATGTTATGGAATTACTTCTCTCAGCAGAAAGATGTGGAAGGAGTAGAGCTGCCAAGCAGCCCCATCCATAGCATGTTCCTAAATAACTTGCCATGAGCAGGTGTCCTTAGTGAGATCCTTAGTCACTGGTTCTGTCACAGTTGCTGTAAACAATAGTGCTTGAACTGGAAGTCCATCTGCTGAGAACAGAGGTGGGGAGGATGGCAAACCCACCTCCTGTCCACTCTGCTGTCATCCCTGCAGCAGCTCTGGGCTGGCTGTGTTGGTTTTGTCATCAGTGGGAGGTTGTTGATCCTGATGTGAGGTGCTAGATCTGATGGGCAAGGTGGGGGTAAACAGCGACAGATGAAAAACAAGATGTAGAAAAGAAGCCAATGGAAGGTGCTGAAAAGTTGTAGGTTAATGTGGCATGAGTCACAAGCTACAGGGAAGGGTGAAGGACTGCTTCAAACAGGTTTGCAGAGTGGCTCTCAGGGTGACAGCCTGCAAGAACAAAGAACAGGTCTGATCCACTTCATTCTTTGCCTTGTTAAGAGGTTGTTGCAGGACCAAAGGTAAAGGTCAAACATCTGATTTTAGACAGGTAGATGAAGGTATATGGTAAGAAAGAAGTAACAAGGATGCACCATGGGTAGTTTTCTGTGAGTTTCCAACTAGGCATCCAAAACAAGCTGTCTACCCAGTCTTCTACATGTACTTTTGTTTCATTCAAAGGTGCTTGGTGAGCCAGGTATCCAAGGGGCAGGGTTGAGCTAAAGGGACATTGCCATTCAGTCTAAAAGCTCCTCCAGAAAAACTACCCCTGGTAACTTGGCAGATGAAGCAGGAGGAGAGCAGGGTTGTCCCAAAAGAGCTAACCAGATGGCTCAGAATGGGGAATAAAACGTCGTCCAGTCTTGGCAACAGCTTTCATCATGTGCTGTTTTCCTTAGTGGTGGGAGAGAGGAGAGGCTGAGGCTCATGTGCATGATGATACTGCTCAGGGCTAGTACCAAGACTGGCATTCTTGTGAGAAGCTTGATTTATGGTTATCTAGCAAGGGTGGGAGCTGCTCTCTCCCTCCAGACTGGCATTGTTTGTTTTGTGCTATGTATATATAACATGGGCTGGTATTGCCAAGGAATGCGACTTTTTTTCTGGGATTTCCATGTGGAATGTCATGTATTTCCTTTGAATCTCCTCTCCTAAAATGAAACGGAAGTTAATCTGGAGGACAGGGCAGTTCGTTCCTCTTGGATATGTAGGCAGGGAAATGCACCAAGAATTTCTAAATTTAAGTGGTTTTCCTTGCTGCATCTTCTCTTAGACCCTGCACTGTGACAGGGTTTGAAGCCAGATAAAAATTCTGATGCTTCTTCAAATAAAAAGCTGTTATTATTTGCACACAGGAATCATCCCTTAGCCTGACCATGCAGTGCAGTAGCTTACACTGGGGTGTTTTTAGTGTGGTAAGCAGTCAGCTCTCAAGCCCAGGTGACCAGCACTGTCTCTGCTAGCATCTTTTTGGTAAATATTTCTTGAAGTTGCAGTTCCTCAGCAGCCCATGCTTGCCTCTTTTCAAGTTTGTCCTCAGTTTGAGCTTCAGAGGAAAGAATGACTGTCGTTGATTACTGCGTCGGTAACTTTGCAGTATTAGGACAGAGTGATGGGAGATAAAAGAGCAATGCCATAAACTTTGCATAACCAAATGCCAGTCTCTCAGAAGAGTGTTTAGAGGAAAACCTTTGTTTTCACTTCAAGAATATCAGATAATCCCTTCACTTAATATTTTTATGTGCAGGATCAAAGTATCCCGAAGTACTCTAATTTTAATTGAAAAAATAATACCTGCAGAACTAACACCATGTCTCAGGCTTCTCATTTTTAAATCCACAGGAGAGCAAATGCATGCTCTGAAGCTACAAGTATAGATTGCTGTTCTCTCCCTTATGATTTATGTTGTGATACTGTGGCATTGTTCAGATCCTGGACTTTTCTACTAGTTTCTGTACAAGCAGAGACAAAAAGATGCTTCACTGGACCAAATGTTTAAAAGTCAGCAGACCAGCACGGAGATTTTAGCTGAATTACTTGCATTCAGGCCCCCAGACCTGAAGCAAAAGCAGCAATGTGCCCATCTTACCAGTCCTCTATGCAGATTATTTGGTAGTAGTTGTAATTTATAAAGCATCACTTGGTCAAGGGAATGCCCAGATTTTGATGGGAAATGTAACATACAGTTCTGTGTGCTTGATTGTTTTGGAAATAGCATATAGATGTGTTTTTTCTTTGGGGATAAAAGGGGACTAATTTGCCAAGAAACACTTTGGTCATTGTTTCCATTAAATGTGTGTATAGAGATAAATGTGGTTTTGCTGTTGTTGAAACCAGTAACAGCCATTATTACTGTTGTCTTAGCCTTTGCCTTACACTTAGGGAGAAATGGGAGATGAGTCCAAAGGAGAAATAAGAAAGACTTTGTATAAAGATTGACAAAGTTCTAATTTCCTCACATCTAACCAAAGCTGCCGAAGCCACAAAAATGGTGGTCTCAGGGGTGAATTTATTGTTTTGTCTTACTGTTTGTTGCAAGCCATGACCTTCAGAAGGGCTGTAAAGTTTTATTTTATGATCCTGCTGATAAAGAGACATATGTAATTTACTATACGAGTTCTTACAGACTTGGCTAACAACAAGTTTGACCCAGAGTTCAAAGAAATTATGGCTCCCGTTGTTTTATTGCTGCTGTGAAATGTATTATTCTCTGTCCTACAGCTGTGTCGCAGTGTCTGCTGCACTAGGTGTACAGAAAAGATGCTGTAAAGGGGGAGCTTTCACATAGAGGGTAAGGAAGGGACAAGACTGTGTGGACATTAAGAAGACGTATATCAGCTCCATCAGAAATTGTAGGCTCTGTCGTGGGTGAAATACGGATTAAATTACTTCAGAATCCATGTTGCTCTTATTGGTGGCACTATTTTACTGTGGGAAATTGAGACACAGAGCAATTGCTTGCCCAAGGTTGTGGAAGACGTGTGGCAGAAGCATGAAACTGACCCAAATCAACGGAATCCCTGATTGGTGCCTGCCCATTTCCCTCCGTTTGCCTTTGGGTTCACTGCCACGCCAGAAGCAAGGCAGAATGTTTGCAACTGATCCAGTTTCAAACGCATTTTTGGCATTTCTAAGATCCTAGACTGTGCTTTAGTGTTTTTTATCTATCCCTGTATGTCCTGGGGCCTTTCAGAGATAGTAATCCTGCTGTTTATTTTTATTACTCTTAAAACTGATTTTTTTTCTGAATAATTTGAGGCAGCCAACAGAGTAGATTTTTAATTTTCTTTGCAAAGCTTCATCTTGCTTCTTGCTCTTCATTGATAGCCATATATCTTACTGTCTTCAGCAGGTTAATGTATTGGTACTTGTGCTGAAAAAATAGAGTTCTGAGCTTTCAGAAGTCACTGATCATATGGGTTGTTGGCAAAAAAATATGCAAGCTGCTCAGAAAAAAAACCCCAGTGTGATCTGGGAGGTGGCTTTGTTCAATCGTATAAACACTTAAGTTTCTATATTGGACTATTAACTACTATCTGCCATGGCTTCCAAAAGAGGCTAGATTTCCAGTCACGGTGTAAAATAATTATATTTCATTGACACAGTGTTTTTAATAATACTTCTATGGTGTCTTGCCTTCAAAGTGA